ATATTTCTGACAACAAGTAAATTAAAGTAACAATAAATTATTATATAGATAATAAAAAACAACTAAATCAAATGAACAAATGGGTTAAAAGAAATAAAATAAGGTGAGAATGCATCATCGCATGTTAAAAATTAAAAGCACTGAAAACAGGAGTTATTTCGAGACAAGGAATAAAGGTCATGATATGCGATGAAGATAGTGATGTCAGTTCCAAGATTACAATGTAGTGCACACAGAAGTATTGCAAGATATATAATCATTCAATTTGAAGTATTGCAGAATATATAATCATTCAATTTGAAGTTTATTCTTTTTCGTTTTTTTATATATATAATTTTAAAGATTTCTTAACAATCCTTTTTGTATTAAATAAATATCAACATATTCATTTGGTAAAGTGTAACTGATGTTTGTGTTTTATATTTTTCAATAAAGTCATTATACATTTTATCAAAATACAAAATGTATAAAAATATCAATATTTTTGCTTCGTTTGTGTTGTAATGTATAAATGTGTATGTTCTCCCCGTCCATCGGACGGATCTAACATATAGTATTATACTAAGAGAGAAACCAGAGAGAGGTTTCAAAAATAGTTTTTACGCTATCACATATGATAAAATCCTATATGTCAATTTCTCAAAATTTAAAGAAAAAAAGTTTCAACATTTAGCTAATAACCCCTAAAAATATTGATTATAGCATGTTAGTACATTCACCATAATTATCTAAATTAATTAACATTATATATATCCAATAACTATTGATCTCACCCCAAAAAGCAAGGTAAAAATTAATAACCCAATCCCTTATATTTTGTGCACTTAATTAATGTTAAATATATCTAATATCTACTCCCTCCATTTCAAAATGTAAGTGTTTTTAGACTTGGCACGTGAACTAAGGAGACAATCATTTAATAATTAATTTAAGTTTTAAATATCTATTTTATCTCTCATTAATTACATTGAAACTATAAACAAGACTAAATAAAGATAGATTAGTACCATTTATTTAGGATAAAGTTGGAAAAATATCCATTAATTTGTCTAGAATTTGTAAAATGACCTACATTTTGACAATATTTTCCAAAGTTAAAACGACCTACAAATTGAAATGGAGGGAGTATTGATTTCATTCAAGAAAAAAAGAAAAAACATCACTCATTCAATTCTAATAAATGTGTAAAGATAATTGTGTGATAATTAATACTATTCATTTTCAAATTTGAATTTGATTAATATGTAATTCTTATCATCTATCAAATCGTAAAGGAACTTGGAAAAAAAATGTGATGATCTCTCAAATCGCACCATTTAAATCATATAAAAAAGCAATGATTAGTATCTTGATCATTAATCATAGGAAAAGTAATATATAAATATTTTTTGATCGAGATTCTTTTTACCCATTCTAATATTTTTGGTGTTTAAAGTTTTTTTTTTTGTTTCTCTGTTAACTTTTCAATGATCATTGGATTATCTCCCCTCCTAATTTTGAATATTTTGTTGTTTAAGTCCATGTTTATACTGAGAAAAGGAGAAGCGCTTATTATCATCATATTATTTAAGGTATTATTGGATTACTTATTAATTAATGGGATTTGTAAAGCCTTGAATTTTATTATTTTTAAGAGCAACATGATTGATTTTTCTAATTGATTTTTTTTTTATGTGGGAATAGAACTGTGAGTGTTGTATATCTTCTCATGATAGTATCATTGTAATGGAAATACTTCTCTGAATGAAATTACACATCAAGAAATTACTGGAATTATTTCATTTTTTTAACAAATTAGTACAGTACCATTTAGGCCTGGCAAAACTGACCCGTGACCCGCGGGTCAACCCAACCCGTCCACCGATCTGACCCGTATGGGTTAGGTTAATTCTTCAAGCACGAGTTGGGTTGGGTTGCCTCAACCCGCGGGTCAAGACGGGTCACAAAGAAAAAATAGAAATCTCATTTTTTGGCATTTTGCAGCAGAAACTCGTATGAAACGAATGTTCTTCGGCACTGTATTTCATAGCCGCTGTATCAATCTTTGTCCAGATCTGCAACTTGAATCTTAAAACCCAGCAACTAGTTTCTTCTTTGTTTCTTTTTGTACTTTAAAAAGAAAGAGATTCAATTGTAGCAGGTTGGTGGCAACTAGATAGAAATTTATAAATTTGTATTGCTGTGGAAGGGAAAAGAAACCGGGGTTGGAGATGGCTGCGGGACAATGGGGTTTCGGGCTTTGGAAGGAGGGGAGGAGGATGGAGAACTGATGGCCGGGAAGAAATGCTCTAATTTTGGCCCCTTAGAATTTTGTAAGGAATTTTTTTTTCTTCTTTTTGTGGTCAAAGATTGGGGATGGAAAGAAGAAGTACAGTCGTCGGATTGAATTGAATTAATTGGAGATGGATTCAAGTTCAACTAGCATATCGTGACCCGGTTCATGGATTGATCCGGTTCTAAGGATCGATCCAGTAAATTGTGTCGCAAAGCATAAAATTTTGAAGTCCAATAAGTTATAAAATATAAGTGTACATTTTATTTGAACCAAAAAGTAAAAATGGGTTGACCCGGTTCAGATTTTTCGCATTCCCCTTATGCGAACATATTTTATTCCACTATAGGGGAGTCCAATTCCTGGACTCCAATACAAATGTTAGGAACACCCAGATGACGCCATGTGGCGCGACCAGGCCAGTTTCAGTTTTTTCGCATTTCCCTTATGCGAAATATTGATGGTCTAATCACATGTTCGCTTTTGCCACGTGGCGCGACGAATGGGAGGCATGAATCTGTTCGCATTTCATACATGCGAACATATTTTAACTATACGGGAGTCCAGTTCTTGGACTCCAATATAAATTTTACTAATATTCTTTGAGGGTAGTCCTGGACAGTACACAAAATTAACAGTAGTACAAATTTAATATTTTTTAAATTATTGCACAAATACAAACACAGACTTGAAGATTGTTTGAATTATTACACAAACCAAAACCCGAATACAAATTTAAAATTCTTAGAATTATTACACAAATACAAACTCAGAATTAATCAAACTATTACACAAACACAAACACTAACAGAACCACTACTTGAAGATTTTTCAGATTATTACGCAAATCTAACTTTGAATTCTTACTCAGAATTCTAAAGATTGATCATCAGAATCATCGGTCTGCATACGGGGTACACCATGCATTCCATATCGATCGTAAGCATGATTCAAAGGAGTCATGTCTGAAGATGGATGTGAGAATGAGCAATTGAAGGTATCATGATCAAATCCTCCACATTGCGCGTAAACTTTCTCAACTACGCATGCACTGGCATTATGGCCTTCTTGATGACATTAACCGCAAACTTGAACTCTCTTGTTGCCAGATTTTTTCGTATAATCCATAAGTCCTTTCTTTCGATTCACACCCTTTCGACCTGGGCCAGCATGGTGGACGAGTAATGTATCATCAGGCCTCAGCTACCACGACGCTTGTGGCCATGGTTGAAGGACTGGGTTGAATTCTCCAGAAAACTGAATAGCCCATTGTTCCCTACTATAAAATGAATAAAAAAGAGGTAATGGATCATGACGTAGAAACCTGGCAACAGCAAGCGCATGGGAGCAAGGAAACATGTATGTCTGCCACTTGTTACATGTGCACGTCCAGGCAGCGTAGCTTACCTTATGGATATTTCCACCCTTCCATGGCCGATCAGGTGGTGAGTACGTGACCACTTTGTACTTCTGATTCCTCTTGCTAAATCTGGTAACCTCGTGGCCCATCTGATGTATATGGTATTCGTCATACCGTTTCATGGGATTCGTCGCGAGGGGTGAATAGCATTTGTCAATTTCATCTATGTTTTCCTGAAACAACTTGTTAGTCTTATACCATGTTGCAAGAATCAAAGCAGTGATAGGGAGCATCCGGCAACCTTTTAAGACATTATTAAAACTCTCGGATATGTTCGAAGTCATTTCTCCCCAACGATATCCCTCGTCCCAATAACGGGTACACTTCTCAAGACTGATTTGTTGAAGATATATGGCTGCATCTCTATTTTTACTTTCTAAATTCATCCATTCTTTTTCAAACTTGCCTTTTTGCAACATTGAACAAGCCCTTTGACAAGGTCTTTTGAGTTTCTGTCCGGGAAAATTACCAGCTAAATTTACTTTGATGTGCTGCAGACAATAACGGTGCACTCCCATCCCTGAAAATTTATCAAGAATAACATCCATAGCAGCAAGAATACCCATATGGCGATCAGAGATAATGCAGGTCTCCTTGTCAAGTAAAACAAATTTTTTCAGGTATTTGAGGAACCATTTCCAGCTATGCAATGTCTCTTCATCCACGAGGGCAAACGCGATGGGAACAATTGTGTTATTTGAGCACTTCACACATACCACGATCAATTTTGCTTTGTATAAACCTCGGAGGTGGGTGGCGTTGACGGTTATGACCGGCCAAGTAGCTCTAAATAAATGTATAGCTGGCCCAAATGCCCAGAAAATGTACCTGCATACCTTCTTCTTCCGATTCTTGGTATCTTTAGTGAACTTAAACTGCATACGGGTATCTGGGTTCGCTCTGAGCAATGCTTCCCGAAAACTGGGCAGTTGTTGAAAGTTGCTTTCCCATGTGCCATACAGACTCTCAAGTGCTTTTCTCCGACCATGCCATGCCTTTTTGTAATTGGAGGTGACCCTGTATCTCTTATATACTTCGACTTGGATCTGCACGACTGAATAACGTGGATCTTTTCGGACATTGGCTGTGATGAATCGAGAAATCATTGTGGACGTCAAGTTTCGAACTTCGTTTCTTGTGGTTGCACCAAGACAGTTATGGCTCTCGATCCATACCACCATTCTCCAAGTATTTGTGTCTTTTTGCAGGGTAGCTCGACATTTCCACAAGCAAGTAGTGCCATGGAGAAGTTCTTCTGGGTAGTTCGGCCCTTTAGTCTCGCATTCAGCGGCCCACATATGGGGACGACTATATTTTACCTGACATGCCCAACCCTGTCGCAATGACCATTCCCCCCACAGCTGTTCGTACCTCTTTCTTCTTAGCATGTATACCATGTCTAACCGTCTGCCAATTATCGTCCCACATTGTGATCCCATCAGAATCCTCATCCAATTCAGATTTATCCATATCATTGATGTCGTCGAAAATAGAAGGTACTACTGAAGATGCGTCATGGTCACTGTAATCATCATCAGACTCATCGGACGGCACAGACTCCTCGTCACTGTTTCCATGTACGTCATCTTCTGTGTCATCGCCATCTTTATTTGTACCACCAACACCACTAGTCCTTGCACCATCATACTGACCACCACTAGTTCCTTCCCCCAACATCTTGAACAAGTTCATCTGTAACCTCTACGTACAATGTTGGACGCAAATGGGCACCTTGGTAAATCCATGACATTGACTCGTTGTCTCTTATGGGCGCTTGCCCCCTTCTGCTGTACCTATCTGTGCAGTACAAAACATATTGCAGAGGAAGTATTTTTGTGTCCTCAGATTCCAACAGACTATGTACATAATTATCAAGTTCAGAGAAACTCCACGCTCGCTTGATATGAACTGTTGCATCTGGCGGAAATAACTTATCCCCATCTCCCCAACAAGATCGATCACTAGAACAGAATATATTCAGATCAAAGGGACCCGGAAAAGACATATTAAGGGCCTGCACAGTTAATTTTTATTGAATTAAACATACAATACACCAATTCATGTTTGTTATAACAATATTCTACCTCACTAGCAGTTATTTACTCCAAATAACGGGTACAATAAGTCCAAAAATATTGAAAAATCTCTAACATAATTTAATAATTCAAAAATATAATGCAACATCTACATAACAAAATTTTCAATTAAAATAAGAACAAATTTTGATCAAATAAATAAATTTATAATTACACAATGCATTTGATCAATTAAAACTAAATTTATTCAATGAATTTTGATGAATTTATCACTCGACATTAACGATAAAATATAAAATTAACTAAACTAAAAAAACAAAAAATAAAAAAATTGGGTCAAATCAGTAACATTACAAATAATTGGGTCAGAATATAAAATACACAAAATTGAGGGATAAAGACAAAATTCGAGATCAGCCGGGTCATTCTCTAAATTAACAAAAGAACACATAATATTCGATGAAATTCTACAATTTTATATCACAACAAGGATTTTTATTCTTGATTTTACATCAAATATAAACATAACAATATTTACTTCAACTAACAATTCTCACAAACTACCTAAACTATAACTTAATAATTACGCACATCAAAATACCATTAATAATATTACTATAAATTTTCAATAAAACATCAAAACAACATACCTAAATGGTTTCTCCAATTCTCAAACCATTGAATTCCTCTCGTTTCTAACCCATTTTTCTTCGTCCAATTGCTCCCGTTTCTGCGAACAACTTTCAATCTGATACAATGCCTCTATCCAAATGACTCTCGGGGATGAAGCTTTAGGCTCAATGTAAGAAAAAATTATTGGTATGGGTTTTGTTCTGTCGTTTCAAGAGAGGCAAGGAATTTAAATAACATACTTGCATCACGTTCGCGTTTCTAAAATGCGAATAGTTATCCAGTTCCTGCCACGTGTCCACAAGAGATTAGTCAATAAGATTTTTATAGATAAAAAGCCTTTTTTGCATTTGACGTATGCGAAAAATTATATGTTCGCATTCAATGAATGCGAAAATTCGGTCAAATGCGACTAAAAATCTGACATTGAGTCATAAAATATTTTTGAATAAAATAAAAACTTTCGCATTTGACATCTTTCTTTTCTCTCACGCGAAATTTTCAAGCGTCAACAGCACCCGTGTCGTTCATAAAAATATTTAAATATATAAACGTTTCGCATTTCCCTTATGCAAAAGTTCAACATAATATTTTTTTTACTTCTTCTCTTAATATTGGCTTAGTTTAAGTAACTAAAAACTAAATTAATATCGTTCGCATTAGGGAATTGCGAATGTTTTTTTTTTTTTTGGCATATGCCAAATGCGAGAAACACATAAATTTCTACACTTTCAACCCTAGGCATTATTCTTTCTACCCATTTAATTTTGAGGTACATAAATCTCACGCACCCTCCCATATGATCCGGATTTTGAATTATTTCCCCAAAAACTGAAGTATCATTTGATCCTCCAAAAGGAAAAAGTTGTAAAGCCCTTGGTTGAATGTGCAGTTTGCTGTGTTGTGAAACCTCCTCTACTAACGGTTAGTGCTTTTTGCTGATGCAGACATGTTAACATCTGCATTTCTTGTATCATCATTCTGGGTGTGTTAAGAGTATCCACAAGACATTCACCTGATTTGCATTGACTGTTCGAGAAACTTGTTGAATGAAAGACTCATCGCTTATGCTCTACGCAAGCTACGACAGCTGCTTTCATTGTCAGTATGAGAAAAGTGAGAAAACCGCTGATGCAATGCTTCTTTTGAGGAATGGGGATCTTGAAGCTGTGGGTTCTTGTAACCTGAAAAAGAAACTTACAGAATATGATTTGGGGAACTTGAATTTGGCACTTTGGTGAACATAGATTGTTGATGCCGAGAATACAATTCAGAAAACAAGATGAAACTTCTGGTGTTGGATGGTAATGTGTTTATCCATGCATTTCATGTGTCATCAAATCCTTTGGATGGTAATGTGTTTATCCATGCATTTCATGTGTTTAGGATAACTGTACTGCATTCTACATACTTTTTGATATTCTTCTTACTATATACCATTCCAAATTGGTGGTTCAATTCTCGATTTGGCATGTTTCTCTAGATTTGTTGTTAATCTCAGAAGGGCCAATGTTTTAACTACATTGACCTTCACAGTTTTATTACTCCCTCGTCCCACAAAAATAGTCCAAATTGAGTTTTGATTTTTGTATTGTTTTTAGTAAAAATTTGAAAACTCAATATAGACTATTTTTGTGGGACGGAAGCAGTACTTTTTACACTTGTCAATGGTTCCGTTGACTGAATTCTTTTCTTTTGAGTCATTGTCTGCATATTTTTCTACCACTATTACAGGAGTGAATTTGTCAAAAGTATCGATGTGTCAATACCCTTCTGTCCCAGAAAAAGAGTATCGATGTATCAAAATTTTAAGAGTATTAAACTACATGAAAGGGGAAGAGCATCGTTTTAACATTTTCCATCACTCTTTAGTCTTCTTACATAGAGGACAAGGAACCAAGATCATTGAGACGAAAATTAAGGAGATAAAAAGGAGAACTTAGCGGAGGCAAAAATTCGATCACACTCAGAGTTAAAACAATGAATTGGATAAGTTCCACATTTGCTTGTCAGGAGCAATATATCATTAATCCCAAACTCTAAGAGTCACTTATGGGCTTGTTTGGACGTCAGTTCATTTTGCATTTTGTCTCATTTTATCTCTTAAACACAAAACCAAATGAAAAAAAATATCATCCAAACAACGGTCTGATTTACATTTTAAATTTCAACTTAAAATACTTTTTGTTAGTGTAATGACCATTTTAGAATTAAAAATATTTCAGTGACTAAATCTAACAATTCACAAGGTCTTGTTTGACTAGCTCCATATTTTGCATTTTGTCTCATTTTCGTCCACCACCACCGTACCACCTCCATTATGGACGTGGGCGCCGAACCGCCACCAACCGCCACTAACCGAATTCCGGCCAACTCGCCGGAATTTGGCCGGTCGCCTGTCGGCGGCGGTCCTGCGGCGCCGATGGTGGAGGTGGTCCGGTGGTGGTCTATTTTATTTAAAATATTATTCAAACAAAATGTTGTCCAAACAAGCTCTTGTAGTTCAGTGACCATTTTGACCATTTGTAGTTCAAAATATTTTTTTCAAAACCAACATCCAAACAACTTTTTGCTCAAAATACTATCCAAACAACATTTTCATTTCTTATTTAGTTTTCAACTTGAAACACTTTTCACTTTTAAATAGCAAAATGAAATGTAAGCTGACGTCTAAACAAGCACTTAATTTCCAAGCAATTTGTAATGCATATATATGATAGGTCTCCTCGAACATTCTCTTCTTAGAACTCGAAACATGGACCCTCGGCGAGCAACATGGTCATTGCCGTTGTAAAAATCATTACATACTTGACGAATTGCGCAAAGGATAAAGGAGGGGCAACTCGTAATATGTTCAAATCCGTTGTAAAAGTTTCCCCATGCAAACCTATAAGCTAACATCAATTGATCGGCATGGCAAAGACAAAAAATTCTATGCCTATTTGATTGAGGATTGAAACCGTTTTCCTTCCTTGAAACAATCTTGTTCGCAACTCCTGAGAACCAATATAGACTTCACCTTTCAATTTACTACTCTTCGCTGAAACCATAAAGACAACCTTTGTGTTTCATTTTTTATCACCATCAAAAGCCACTTCATCTTCGTTGAAGTTATTCAAATTCTGCAACGAGTGCCTGCCTCAAAACCTTTTGTGAATGTTTATGATGATATCATTTGCAAATTTAGATGTGATACAACAAAAGATTTAACCAGGCCCGTCTCTGAAGAGGGGGCGAAAGGGGCGACTGCCAAGGTCACGACCCGGGGGCCCGGAGAGGTGGGTGGAAAACAGGAAAGGGAGAAAACAGAAAGAAGGAAGGAAAAATTGGAAAATTCCAATTTAATTCTGAAATATTTGATAATTAATTTACAGACCCAAGCAACTATTTATAGTCCACCTATTTTCTGAATTGACACTCTAGTCCCTACTTTTCTATTCTCTGTGATTTTACTCCAGGGGCATGACAGACCACCTCTCTTAAAAACAGTCTTGTCCTCAAGACTGCCAGAAAGGACTAAACTACATCAAAACAGTAATAACAATCAGCATTAATGAACACTACAGCTGACTACAAAGAAAGAACAAAGAGAGGCTATAACATCAAAACAGCAATTAACCACCACTCCAACAAAGCTGGAACTGCACCAAGTCATGCAACCAAGAAGTGAAGTGACCATGACAACAACAAAAATTGCTCAAACAGCTATCAGAGTGACTTTCATACTGTGGAGGGATACCAGCTTCCATTCTCACAGCAACAACCCCCAAGGTGTACCACGCAATCATCCAAGTAAAATTGGTGTCGTTATCCACTTCCCTTCATGTAGCATTTCCTCCACAAACAATTGTCCCACCCTGAAACAAGTCACAGTTCGAGTCCAGGGACTGTGTTTTCTGTTTGTGCCTCCAAATGGCATTTCAGCATACCCTGTCCTTACAACAAATGCACCATGATTCCTAACAGTACCACTTTCATTTTGTGGTGGGTTTTGAGCAGCCATTTTCCAATATTCAGCAATAATGCTAATGTTGTTGCCATCACAAACTGAAGAAAATTCCAGTAGACAAATAATTTCTTGCCTAAGTTCATACAAACTCCCAGTGCCGCCTTTGAATAAAGTTACCACTTTAGTCCAAAACTTTCCCAACGTGTAATTCCCAAACTGATTATGTACATTTATCACCAATAGACAGTAAGCTGTCTCTTATTCCACCAGGGTCGAATGTAGATAGGCAGCCAGCTTTGGTACAAATTGAAGAACTAAAAACCCAATATAAACTAGCACTAACATGTTTGCAGTTCAATACAACATCAATAAAAAGGGTGAAGTGCATCTTAATGTTTTTAAGTTTTAAGCGAGAAATTGGAGAGAAGACTTTAGCTCCACTTACCCTTTTCTTTGTTGAACCTGTTGCATCCAGGCTAGGCACCAGACTCGGCTTTAGTAGCTGCCAGATAAGTGACTTAGCTTGACAGGGAGCACTTTTTGCTGTTGAACATTATCTTCGAAGCCAAAACTACCATGCTCTTTCAACTCACAGGCGCCCATCCGAATGTTAGCAGCAGTTGATCTTCCACTTCCCTGTTTTGCAATTTCATGACCATATGCAACTTGGCAAGAGTTCAATAAACCCCGTATTTCAGAATCAAAATCATTAATGAATTTATCAACTGAAATTTGCTGCAGAATGAATATCTTAAAATACGGTTCAGCTCTTTTCTCCCCATGGCAAGACAGTAGCAAGAAAAAAGAAATTTCCCCAAAATAATATAGGCTGCAAGGCTGCATATATTCCAGAGTTTTTAATGCGTGCCAAAGAACTTTATTAACTACTAACTCCCCATAAAAACTACCTTTGTCCTCAAGGTCGGGTAATGAGTAACTAACTGCAATCCGTAACCAAAGAAGCAATTCAAACTCAACCACAATTTGGGAATTTCTAGCAGCTAAGTTCAATAGTTTCAGCCTCCAACTCCTTGCTCCTAATATTTGGCTTACAAGGTAGAACAATGAAGGATTTCTCTCAGGAACAGTCTTGACATCAGCTGCCATTGCGTTTGCATCAAGGGGTAATCCACAAACATAAACCAGAACGTGCTCAATGATGGTCGTAAAAGTGCAATATCTAACATTTCCCTTATTCAGATGTAACAACAATACAGGAGCTCCAGAGTTCAGCATATATTCGAGCAACACAAGTTTCTTGGGTTGAAAGTTTCTCAGTTCCACAATTTTAATTTCATTACCACTCTTTAACAGTATATTAGCTCTAAAGAGTCTAAATACACAGGAATGGTCTTCACAGAAGAGCAAACTTCTCCTACCAAAATGATCAAAAACATATGCCAACATGTCCCGCAGACTACTCGATTCATCACAAGGCATCAAAACAGCGTTACTGACATCATAGTCATGACTAGGATTCAATGCTACCACAACTGTATCAATTCCACTCTTTACAAATTTTTTCATTCTGAAACTAGTGCTCTCGCGGCCAAAAAGAATCACACAAGTAACATTATAATTTGCAGGTGAAACATCAACATCAATAGCACATCCAATTCCCCCCGGATCAACATGAAATGAGTTAGGGCCATTTTCCCCATCCCAGAAATGATTTAAACCAAATTTATTCATCATAGTATTAACTAAAAGCATCAGAGCAACATCATCTCTGCGTTGCACCCTTTCAACATTTGTATCCATTAGTTCGTTTAACCATACTAAGGTTCCAGTAATTGTTTTCTCAGCAACACCAACATAAACATCATCTTTAACCACAGTATTATATTCGTTTCCATCCAGAAATACACAAGGAGAGTTCACAAACTCAAACGAAACATTGACATCAGCAATCATTCCTTTCAAAGGTTTACAATCAACATCCAAAAACTCATTCATTGGAGATGAAATATCATCATTAACAGAAAACACACGCAGACCAATAGTGTTTCCAATGCAACAATTCACCGTTCCCCCTGGTTCAATAACAATTAAACTGCCATAGTTTTCCTTATTATCCACACCATTCATTCCAGCTTCAAGTTCATTTTCAGAAGATCTAAGAACCGTAAAGCACTCGTCAAATGCAGGACTTCCAGTAATTAAATAATGTGCTTCCGATGGTATACCAGGATCAATAGCAAATTTCGAATCATAGTCCATTACGCAAAAATCAATCTCGCTTTCACCCATAGTTTTAAGGATCCCATTGTTTATTTCATTTTGCTCAACTTCATTATTCAATTCCACATAGCTAACAACCTGAGGAACCACACCTTTACAAACAGGAACCTCTTCATCCAGAACTAAAGTACTATCATCCATTATAGTATCATCAGTCACAGTTTTGATCAATTCATCTACTGACAGTAGCTCATTATGATCATAATCATCATGCTTAATGCCCAATTTTACATCAGCATATTGATAATCAGAATGCACAAACTCATCGACACTAGCAATACTAACAGGGCATTTGATTCCCCCGGGATCAAAATGAAATGGGTTGTGGCCAAATCCTCCATCCCAGAATTGATTTAGATCAACGAGAGGTTCAACATTTTCACGATTGGTCTCATTTAAACCAATAAAAACAGCACCATTCAAGTTGTCAGAGGCATGAACTAAAATCTCTAAAGAGACAACGTTATCATCAACGCAATGCGTCTTACCAACATATTCAGCAACTATGTCGACCAAAACAACAGAAGCCTCAAGAGAAATCTACATCAGATTTTTCAATAACCATAACCGAACGACCCGGAGGATTGAGAAATTACCATTCGTGTCAGACTTTGAAGTTTCAGTCAGGGGAGTAGAGACTTCAATTTCCAGTGAATCAATCTCCACTTTGCTTCCAGAAGACTCATATTCCTCAAATGTCTCATTGGAGGACTTCTCTTCGGATTCTACCACCACATCGCCCTCCAATTCTTCTGACTCTGTAACTGAAGAATTCACAGGCGCCGCTTCCCAAATATTAAACCGTAGAGTTGGCTGGATGTATTTGCCAAACCGGAGCTCTAATTTTTTGGCAAATTCTTCCTAGTTCGTCAATTGGGAAGAACATAGCAAGCTGTACAGAAATTGCAAAGGTTCCCCAATTAAATAGAATTCTACCACAAATAACTTCATATCTGGCCGAATGGAATTATAGGAGAAGAACTGCTCCATTAGGTCAATCCAATCAGTGACATCTTCGTCGGAGAATAGGGGAATCCCGGTCGGTGATGGCTTATGAAGATTATATGGCGTCGGATTGGGGGAAATGATTTCAGATGGGTGAAGCGTTAATTCATTCTGAACCCTAATGCGGGCTTCGTCGGAAATGAAGAATTCCATCACCAAAACAGAGGCGGAACAAAATAGGAGCTTGGTGCGAACCACAGAACGGAGAATTTCGCACAGAATTCAGAAGGAGGAGGGGAAAACGGATTTCAGAATTCAGAGGGTTTAGGAAGCAGAAGGGGGAGAAAAGATGAACCGAATTGATCAATTGATATAGAGTCGGCCGAGGAAGGACTGCTCTGATACGAAATGTCACGACCCGGGGGCCCGGAGAGCCGGCCGGAAAACAGAAAAGGAAGAAAACGGACTGAGATGGGAAAATTAGGGTTCCGATCGGGGGAAGAACGAAGAAGGAAGGGAAAATTTGGAAAATTCCAATTTCATTCTGAAATATTTGATAATAATTAATTTAAAGACCCAAGCAACTAGTTATAGGGGCTTTTTCCCAAAAAAAAATTAATTAAAATAAAAGTGGAGAAATTTAAATTTTTCAGAATATTAGTGGACAGAAACATATCTCTTGTATTTCCGAAATCCGAGTTCTAATTAAAATTAAAGATTTGGATTTCGTAAATCCGAGCCTATATTTAATACTCCCTCCGTCCCATAATTATTGTCCACTTTGCCCAAAAAATTTTGTCCCAAAATTATTGTCCAATTTGACTTTTTATGGATCAAGTTACACATTTGTCCTTAGTAAAAAACATTATCCATAAAATCTTAGTGGCTAAACAGTTACTTATGTAGGGGTATAAAAGGTTGTTTAAGGTAAAATATAGTAAAGTTTGACCAAAAATAAAATCTTTCATTTTAGTAGAAGTGGACAATAATTATGGGACGGATTAAATAAATTTTTTTGAATACTAGTTTTTAAAAATTCTGAAATGAACAGTGTCGTTCGGATTTCCGGAATCCGAATTTAGTTAAAAAATAATAAATTGAGGCGCGAAATATTTAAACTCAAATAAGGAGTCCAGGAAATGAACAGTAGTACTCGGATTTACAAAATCTGAGTGTACAAAAAGAAAAAAGAAAAAAACAAAATCGCGGCGCAAAATTTTTGAATCCAAAAACCGGAAGTCTGTAATCCGATTTTCTGTATTCGGATTTTGGAAATCCGACTGCCTTTAATTTTGGTTAGCGGAAGTAGGCATGTGCCATAAATTGGAGGACCAAAAACTGAATAAAAAAATCTAGAATTGACCAAACTCGGATTCAGGAAATCCGAGGCCACGGTAATTCGGATATCTAAAATCCGAGTTACTTACGGACTCGGATTTCGGAAATCCGAGTCTATCGTGCTATAAAAGAAAAAAAAATCCAGTCAGTTCTCGAAGAAAAAAAATCCAGACAGTTCTCATTCGAGAACTGACTTGGATTTTCTGTTTTTGCAGCTCAAACAAGGGTGAATTGGAGCTTTTGATACATTCTTGCCTCTAGATATGTGGGAATTGTTATTTGAAAGAGGTTAGATTGCAAAACCATGTTATTTAGTTTAGTTTTGTGTTATTTTGATTGTTAGAATGATGTATGATATATTAGGGTTTATGATGGTTGGTTGTTTGGATGTTTTAGATGTTGATTTAAAGGTTAGAGATGAGAAATCATAGTTATCCATGAGATATGGAAGTTGATTTATAAGTATTTTAGTATTTTATAGGTTTTTTGAATTATGAATGGAGTATGTATGGTGTATTTGTTGATTTTGTTATTAAGAAATGATTAGTTATTGATTTTTTTTAAACAGTTATCAATGACACGTAATGTATCATACATGCTTAATTTGTATCATACAAGCAAGTATGTGATCGAGAATGGTAGCATCAACACTTTTTCGAATATGCCGGATGATGGTTTGTTTGTTAAGGAAAGGTTGTCATACGAGGGATTAATTAGTAAGATTTGTATGACACTTGGTTGGGATCCCGCACACGTGAAACTCCACCTTTCTTTGATTTTCGATAGTTCCGGTGGTAGGCGTGTAGTGAAGATCAAGAATGATTCGAATGTAGAGTTCATGAACCGTGTAGATCCAATGTCATGTTTGGATTTATACATAGATTTGGAAGATATCGAGCGATATCTTCCAAATCTATGTATAAATCCAAACATGACATTGGATTAAGAAGAAAGAGAAGCGAGTTTGGAAAACGTGTCATTTGGTGGTTTTCCAAGAGGGAAACGTGCCAGTACTTTTTGAAACCGTGATGAAGAGGAGACACCTTTATTTGCAAAAGACGACTACCGAGAAGAGTCGGATTCCGACTACATAGCTCCAAGTGAAAGCGAAGAAGACTGTGATGTCTCCGGAGAGAGTGATATTGAAGAAGGTGATGATGAAAGGTTGGAAAATGAGGAAAGGGATTGTAATCCATTGCCCCGTCGCCATGTATATAGTAAGATGGGGAAATGGAATGCCTTATGTGTGGACAAGGATGAGTTTGCTCTTAAGATGTGGGATGAGACGCCCGAAGGAATGGACATTAGTGTTTATTTCAAAACTCAATCAGAATCAAAGCATGCTGTGAAATTATGAAACATCCATCATAAAAGGGAATATACGGTCACCGCGAGTAGTCCAACGACGTGGGCTGTGCAGTGCAGAACATTAAATGAGGAAAATGAGGATGGTGAACTACCATGTGAGTGGAAGATGCGTGTGTCTTTGAAAGCTCACGGCCTTCATGAAATTGTGAGATGACATGATGCACATAATTGCAAGACTCCCGTGAATGATAATGACAATCGGTGTGTTGACACGTCTTTGATTGCTAGACTCATCAGGAGAAAGGTTGAAAACAACGTAGATTATATGGTAGGCTCGGCACAGAAAGATGTGAAAACCTTATTGAAAGTAGATGTGCCATACAAAAGGGCGTGGCACGGGAGGAGGAAAGCCATAGAAGCGGTCTATAGTGATTGGACCTCGAATTTCGAAGAACTTCCACGGTAAATATCAAGGTTTATTCGTGTATTGAAATATTTTTACTGTTTTTTTTTACATGTATTGAAATATTTTAACTATGAATTGTTATTGTGTAGGTATATTGATGCGCTTAAGTTTACTAATCCTGAGACTGTAGTAGAGTGGGAATGGAAGGAGGGACAAGAAGGTTGGAACAGGGGAAATAGGACATTTAAATATGTCTTCTGGTCATTTGCACCAGTGGCTGCGACGTTTTTTGAATGTCCACCGGTCATTTGTATCGATGGAACCTTCTTGCGTGGTGGATACAAGGGTAAATTGCTTGTTGCGGTGGTCTATACCGCAAACAAGCACATTTTACCGGTTGCATTTGTGATTGTGGATGAGGGGACAGTAGAGAGTTGGACATTTTTTATGAGGAATTTGAGGTTGTGGGTTGTGTATGATAGAATCGTAAGTGTGATATCCGACCGGAATGCAGGATTGTTGAGCGGAATGTCACAGATGGATGAATGACGTGATTTAGGAGATGGTGGCCACTTTCTTTGCCTCCGCCACGTTCGTAGCAATCTTATGTCGCGATATAATAGTAAAAGGGCAAAACGGTTATGTTGGAAGATGGGCACACCGCTTTCAAGAGTGAAATATGACCATATGAGGGCAGAGCTTATTGAATTCAGACCTGCTGCATGGGAGTATCTTCGAGTGATTGGAGGGAGTAACTGGGCTCGATTGAAAGTCGGTTTTCGCCGTTGGGGCATAGCGACAACAAACATTTCTGAGAGTTACAACAATGCGTTGAAAGGGATCCGTTTTTTACCAATTAGAGCCTTGATCGATGCAACCTTTCGCAAAACTGTTAAATTCTACAGAGAAGAACAATTGTCTGCAAGAAATTGCATAACACCGATCCCTCCTGAGTTATGAAAAAAATACGAGAAAATGAACGACAAAGCAGCTAATTTTGAAGCCACCCCTTTTGATGGTGATGATGCTATGTGGCGTGTTGTTACTGCAACACGGCTAAGTGGCAGGGGTGGGTCTTTAAATACGGTGAACTACGATGAACATAGGTATTTGTGCAGGAAGTGGCAAGAGTACCGGATGCCTTGTACGCACGTACTTCAAGTTTGTCGGAGAAAAGGGGATCAGCCTATTGATCTACATCATAGTGTGTGGCGCCTTCCAACGTGGCACAGACAATTTGATTACACGGGCTTTGTTCCGGTTCCCGATGAGAAATAATGGCCGACGGTTAATTGGAACATCATTCCGAATTATGAGCGTCTTGTGTTGCATGCGGGACCGGGACGAAGACAAAAAAGGAGACATAGAATGCAAATGGATTACAGGGGACGCCGGAGTCGGGGGGAATGTTGAAGATGTGGACAATAAGGTCATGATGTCAATTCTTGTCCGTTCTCGCACCTAGGAGTAGATAGAAGACCTGTGAATGACAGCTGGAATTGAGAGTCATTTAGTGTTCTTGCAAGTTATTTGGAATGACAACTATTTAAATAGACGCAAACAAATATATGTTTTGATAAATTCGGATTGTAATGTTAACATGAAATTGTGATGAAATATATACTAGTTTTTCATAACAGGTTTTGGGATTGTGCAAAATACTTATTTTAAGATTTTCTAAAGGATTCGGATTTCCGCAATCCGAAAGTACGCGTTTTGTATTACGTCCAGATTTCCGAAATCCGAACTCAGACTTTTTTCCTACAGCAAAGTACTCGGATTTTGAAAATCCAAATTGGTGAAATCCATTCGAGAGTATGCAAATTGAGGAGAAACAGGGGAGACTCGGATTTCCGAAATCCGGATGTTGTGCTTTCGGATTTCAGAAATCCGAGTTTGGCGGGACTATATATAGATGGTCAACTCTTCCCCTTCCCATTTTTCCCCAATTCTCGGTTTACAAAAACCTAAAATTAAACCCCCGGCGAATCCGAGTTTCTTCCCGGTGAATCCCTCCATTCCTCCCGGCGAATCCCTCCATTCTTCCCAGCGACTACCTCCACTCCTCCCAGCGACTCCCTCTATTCTTACTGGCGACTCCCTCTACTCCTCCCGGTGACTCCCTCCATTCTTCCCGGCGAATCCCGCCATTCTTCCCGAG